AGCTGGGCGTGGTAGCGCGCGCCTGTACTTCCAGCTACTCGGAAGGCTGAGGCGGAAGGATCGCCGGAGCCCAGCGGGTCGAGGCTGCGGTGGCCGGGAGCGGCCACTGCCCTCCAGTCTGGGCGACAGAGTGAAATTCCATTATTATAAAAAACCTGGATCCTTCCCAACCCTAGGGCTGTCTTTGTCCCTTTTTTTTTTTTTTTTAACCTTTAGTGTTCCTTCTGATGTTTCTGTTGTTGCCTTGTTCCTTGTAGTTCTTTTGAAGTTTCTCTCACTGCGTATGCTGTTTCTTAGCCTAGAGGCGCATTCTTCTCGCCAGACTAACATCTCACCCGTTTGTCAAGGTCAATCTCCTAATCACTCCATCTTGAATTCTCCCGGGGACCCTAGTCAGGCCGACGGCTCCTTCCTTGTTGCTCCCCCCGGCACAGCTCCAACCTCCAGCAATTACCAGAGCTCTTCCATCCGCCTAGCGTCGGAAGTCCGTTTTCTCACTCCCTATAGGAACCACACCCGCCGCCCCGAAAACGTTTCGGTCCACCTGCGGCCGCACGAAGGGGCCGGGAAGAAAGTCACGCCGCTCCGCCCGGCACGAGCACCGGCGCCCAAGGAGGCGCCCGCCGAGTGACGTTCGGGGGCCGTCTCTTCGGCCGGGAAGCCTCGGGCGCGGCGCCCCGGCGCTCCCGTGCGCCGAGCTTCGCCAGGCGGGACGAACCCGGCCGGGCGCCCCCGCCTGGCACCGGAGACACCGCGCGGCTGCGCACCATCGAGGCGGCGGCAGCTAGAGAGGCCGGCGGGCTCCGGGGCGCCGCGGCTGCTGGCCGCAGGGAACGCGCACCGGGCGGACCCAGCACCGCGGGCCTTGTAGCCATTTTGGGAGGAAACCCGGATCGCCTCCCCGGGGTGCGGCTTCAATTTCAATAACTTTATTGGTGGTCAAATTCGCGGGGACCGCCATCGCGAAGGGGAGGGGGCGCACCGCCGGAGGTGATCGGGGTGGGGGCGCCCCCGGCTGTGGGCGCAGAGATGCGGGGGCGGTCCCGATAGCGGTTTCCCGGAGCGGGGGGCAGCGAGGGGCCCTGGGGATTTGAGGGCGTTCCTGTGGGCCTGGAGGGAGGGGACCCCGGCACTGCTCTCCTGGGGCGAGGGTTCCCTTGCCTGGGTCGCATGGGCGGGGCTGGGGGGCGCCCCTGACGCGGCGGCTGGGGTGTTCCCCGCCCGGTGTCGTTCCCCGCGGCAGGTGGCCCCTGACACTAGCTGCAGCCATGGGAAACACCACCAGCGACCGAGTATCTGGGGAGCGCCACGGCGCCAAGGCTGCACGCGCCGAGGGCGCTGGCGGGCATGGCCCCGGCAAGGAGCACAAGATCATGGTGGGGAGCACGGACGACCCCAGCGTCTTCAGCCTGCCGGACTCCAAGGTAAGCGTCCCCACGCCTCCAGTTTGTGGCGATGCTGCTGCGGGCTGGTTTCAGCGCTCCTCCCCCGCTTCTGGGTTCTTTCTCCGCACACGGAACTGGGTTACGGTTTTTTTCATTAAAGGGATTTTCCGGGGACAGAGGTGTCGGATGGAAATTCCTCTTGCGCTGCTGCCTCAAAATAGGATAGTGAGGCGGAGTTCCTGTTTTCTGGTGTTCTGACTAATCTGCTGGCTACATTTTTAGGAGGGGAGCAGTAGACACCTCCTGCCCCCATCCTTGGTTCTCCTAACAGGCACCGGTGCCCTAGCGTGTTGCTGAATTTAGAGGTTGTAAACCTTGGTGGAAAAGTTCAGAGGGAACATTGCGTGAGCTGCTGACCATAGATGGTAGTTTCTCACCTTTGCTCTGAGGCGGCTAAATGAATGTTTTTTCTGAAAACGCCTTTTAACTGTCATTTTTGCCTTTCTAGGAGCTCTTCACTTGTGATTGAGCAGCAATCACTTGCTTATTTGAATACTTCCTCCTAGTCTTGGGGATCAATAAAGAACATTATTTGGTTGGTTGCTCAATTTTTGTCCCATACTTTATAGTTGTGGTGCCTGGGGCTGTGCTGCTTTCACGCCCAGCTGCTTCTCAAGTGGGAGAGTAAGTGGGGCTTTCTCCACTTATCAATATTTCAAAATGTGGCGGTGACTGAAAACGACAACCCACACCTGCCCTGAAGACCTTGCTCTCTATTCCAAGGACTTTCAGAAAGAGGGCAACTTTAGAGGCTTTAAAGAGTAAACATAAGAGTATTATTTGCCATATTGGTAGCACATGAACTTTGGGTTCCCTGGCTTATTTTGGGGGGTCCCAATTGAGAACATAATTACACAGAGAGAAGTGAGAGTGATTGAAAGCATTTCTTGGGGTTTTTTCTTCATTCCTTCTTCCTCCTGAGGACTTCATCATTTGGGTTGTCTACTCAGCCATCTGAATTTAATTCTTCAAAGCTTTCTTAAGGTGACCTGCCTCACTGTATTTTTACCCTTTTCATACGTTGATGACTCAGGATAAGTACAGTGTATTTGTAAAACTGACTGCAGTAATTAGTGTCCTAAATAAAAGCCAGATTGCTCTGTCTGAATTGGAGCCTATTTTGGATCATTCTTTTCCTCACTTCAATCTTGCCATTTGTGAAATAAGAAAATTATTCAGGTAATTTCTTAAGGTCTCATCCAAGTCTTAAAAGTCTCATTCAAAATTTTATTGTTCTCAAATCTATCCTTTTTATTTCTAACCACAACGTTTACTTAAACACCATCAATTAAAGTTCTAATTGTTATTTTGCCCCCTTTCCTGATAGTTTTGCTGACTAACTTCAACAGTCGTTCTGCAGGTCAGCTGCATTCATTCCTACCACAGAAATGTCAAGTCATAAATGAAAAGGCTATGCTCCAAAGCTTAGACATATTAATAGTTTGTAGCTTTCAAATTCTAAACTGAAAATCGTGTCATAAAAGTAACAGAAATAGCGGAGGTGGGTTTCAAATGCCAGCCTTTTTCAGTAGACTAATTTAATGGTTCTCAATCCTATTTGCACATTAGAATCACCTGAGATTTGTTTAAATACTTTATGGAAAATTTGAAACATTTACAAAGTAAATGAACTCTTTATTCCTGCCACCCAGTTTGAACAATGATCCAATCATGAATGAATGTATCCCTCCATACTCCAATCCACTGTCCCCCCACCAATTATTTTGAAGCAAATTACAGACATTATATCAAATATTATTTCATCTGTAACGTTTTAGGATGTACCTCTAAAGAGGAGTCTTTTTTTTTTTTCCTTTGTCTGTTTCAACACAGTATTATCTGGGAAGCTTTTCAAAAATAGAATTTTCAGATCCTATATCTGAATCAGAATCAGAGGGTTATGCTTATTAGGCATTTGTACAAATTCCAGTAATTATAATGTAGGCAGTCAGGCAAGAGTACATTGCTCTGAGAATATGGAGACTGAGGTTTTCTCTTAAGCCAATTCCTTTTAAAATGTGAAAATTCTTTCAATTCTTCCTCCATTTACTTTGGATTATGCTGTTACTAATGCCTCATACTGTAACATTGAAGAATATCAAAAGACAGTATGGAGGTAAACTATCTTAACCATTTTGAAAAGAATGTTCAAAAGAATAAGCTAGAGCTTTTTTATTTTTAAAAAATTGACATTATTTTGACTTAAAACTGTACAGTCTTATTTACTTATTTACCAGTGCCACTTAAAGACAGCCCAAAGGGGTCAGCAGACTTTTTATATAAATAATGAGATGGTAAGTGATTTAGATTATGTCAACCATACAGACTTTGTCATAACTACTCAGTTTTGCCACTGCAGCATTTAAGTAGCTGTAGGTAACAGGTAAACAAATGAGCATAGCTGTTTTCTAATACTTTATAAAAAGCATCTGGCTTACTGATTATTTGCCGCTTCTGGTCTAAAAGGGTGGTAATGAAAAGAAGTTAATTTTCTTCAGGATCCTACAAACCTCATTTGATCGTAGAACTGATTTTGATAAAGGAAGCTGCATTTTTTATCTCTTGCTCCTTGAGTCTCCAGAATTTTCATTCCTACTTCTGAAGTACTTATATAAACATGGCATAGGGGAGCAAGTAAGATTTCATAACCATTTTTCAACTTAAATCAGGAATCTGGTTTTTGAATTTTTAAAGTCCCTTCTCTTTGTAACCTATTAGCTGAAATACCGCTTATGAATTTTGGTATCTCTAACTTTCATAACAACTGATAATTTAAAAAAAATTTTATTTTAAAGATGTGGGGGACAATTTAAGGTTAGGTATACAAATGGTCATTGTACAGGAAAAGATTGGGCCTCACTTTGGTCCCTACTTACAACTGATAATTGACAGCTAATCACATTTGCCTGTGAAAAATATATGATTGGCTTAATTTTTTTTATAGAACCATACTTTGTTCTCATATTTTTTTACTAAGAGGGACTCAGAAATATATTATAACTGCCTGCCTATGAGTTAAACTGGTAGTAGGGAGTTAGTTTTTGTTTGTTTGTTTGTTTTGTTTTTAAAGGAAGATTGTTTAAGATTCTGAAAGGGTAATATATGCAGACTCAAAAGTTAGGCTATGATTTAGTCTGTGCTTGAGTATAAGCCATCTGACTATTTTTGGTCCTAGATGAGTTTTTAAAATTTTTTTTGAGTTGGGGTCTTACCCCTTCGCCCAGGCTGGAGTGCAGTGGCACACACGCTCACGGCCCCCCAGCGTCGACCTTCTGGGCTCCAGCGATCCTTCTGCCTCAGCCTTCTGAGTAGCTGGAACTACAGACGCGCGCTACCATGCCTGACTATTTTTTATTTTATTGTAGAGATGAGGTCTCACCAAGATGCCTGGACTGGTCTCAAACCCGCGGGCTCAGGCAATCCACTCACCTTGGCCTCCCAAAGTTCTGGGATTACAGGCTGAGCCACCGAGCCTGGCCAGAGTTCTTTTGCTTGATCAAAACCTAATTTAGTTGCTAAGTTGGGGGCTTATATCCTTAGTAGAAGCTTAGTACCCTCTTCTACCCTAGGGAGGAGAGTGACCATTTAAGAATTTTTGGGTCACAATTTATTCCAGGGATGACCTACTCCTTCTTACAGCTCCCTGGGGACAAAGAGTTTGTATCATGGCAGCAGGATTTGGAGGACTCCGTAAAACTTACACAGCAGGCACGGCCCACTGTTATCCGCTGGTCTGAAGGAGGCAAGGAGGTCTTCATCTCTGGGTCCTTCAACAATTGGAGCACCAAGATTCCACTGATTAAGAGGTAAAGACAAGTATCTTGGTTGAGTCTACAAGGTCCAGGAAGGAATAGTGGCCTGATTTCCTTTCTCTGAAGAGAGAGCTGGCTGGACTAATTTTCTCTACCTGCTAGGGACTATAAAAACATGCTCCTTTTTGTGACCACTTAACTATATCTGTGGAATTTTTGTTTTTAACCTCCTAGTGAGTCAGAGATGTTTTGCCATTTATACTATCATTGCCTCAGAGGAATTCCTAACAGCTTTGTGGATACAGTCTTTAGGATTGTGTTACACAAATCTTTTCTAGGCTTGTGGGAAGTCTTCTGTAACTGGTTGAGTCTTGTTTCTCGGACTTTTACACTAAAGCAAAACACATTGTGATGTTCTAGGTAGTAATGTTATTTGTTGCCTGCAAAGCTGTAATTAATTCTTTAACTGGCAGTCATAATGGCCCTTTATAGCTCATTTTCTAGAAAAGTTTCACTAAAATACAGGAAGAGTATTTTCTTGAGGCAGTTCTGTATCGTGAAGCTACCTATTATCTTATTTACACTTGTTAGGACCTGTTCTACTGGATCAAAATATTTGTGCTAAGGTGAACCATTCGGGGGAATTAATGTCTTTATTATTCTCTTCCAGATATTGGTTAAGAACTAAAGTTGTTGGGAAGGGCTAGAAAATACATGTCCAAGGTGATACAGAAAAGGAGAATGGTATTACAAATTATTCTTTATGCCAGGGGATATAGTGGCTTAGGGATATGGGAGATCATTGGCATGATACTAGGATTGCCACTTGTATTTTTTATTGTCTTCTAAAAGGAAGTTGTCCTGTTTGGCTTTCTGTTTTCTCCTGTAGCCATAATGACTTTGTTGCCATACTGGACCTCCCTGAAGGAGAGCACCAATACAAGTTCTTTGTGGATGGACAGTGGGTTCATGATCCATCAGAGGTAAGGCCTTGATCTCCAAGGGTAGCCATTGACTTAGCAGTCGTGTTTTAGCTGTCACTGCTGTCAGGATCAATGGGCAGCATCGCCCCTACACTGGAAGATTTCTCTCTTGATAAATAATGGAGGTATCAAAAAAAAAAAAAAAAAAAAGGAACCGCGTATGATTATGTTTGACTTTTAGTAAAAAAGGAAGGTTAGATGGAAGAGATGAAATTGAAAAAGGGATTCAGTGATTTTTTTTTTTTTTCTATTTACTATTTCAGCCTGTGGTTACCAGTCAGCTTGGCACAATTAACAATTTGATCCATGTCAAGAAATCTGATTTTGAGGTGTTTGATGCTTTAAAGTTAGATTCTATGGAAAGCTCTGAGACATCTGGTCGAGGTAATTTTGTAGTATTTGTTCTTTCTTGATGTGTCTTGTATTGCATGTTTCTTCCAAAAATTTGTTTAAATTTTGTTTTGTTTTTCCATTTCTCCTCAGGTATCTTCTGAATCCTATATATTTGTCTTTCTCCTGTAAATATTTAGGTCCCTTCTTCTAAAATCTCAGTTTAGTGTATCTTATTTCAAACTTTTAAATCATGATCTACAGTAAGAATCTGTTTTCCATTGCAACCCAGCACACACACACACACACACACACACACACACACACACACACACACATTCACCCACCCACTCACACTCGCAACTAACACAAGTCTCGTGGTGGAATGTTTGCCTTCATTACATGTGATGTATTCTTTCTCTTTTTTAAAACCCACTAATGGGCCACAGCCTATAGTTTTTGAAAAGCTATTTCTAGTAATATTTCAAGTTTTCCATGGACCTTTGGTAGCATCGCCCAGTAGAGTCTAGATATGCTTGGTTTGTCTTATTTAGCTGCCTCAGCTTAACCTTGTCAGTTTGAAAGCTCAGTTGACAGTTCTACAGTTTTCTGTATATATTATTTTGTATATAAGTGAGATTTTGTGAGATTTGGTAAATAATAATAATCCTTGGTAGAGAAAAACCTGTACTTTTATTTTCTCTTATATTGTTTTATCCAAGACTTTAATCTCTACCTACATTTGCTGTAACCACATTTATAATTGCCATTTTGTTACTTTACAGTAAGATCTATGACTGCCTAAAGACTTGTGCATTGTATTATTCTCAGTGAGCACACTTATTGTGAGTTCAAAGCCTGCCTCTATACTAACTAGTTTGCTATTAAGGACAAGTCTCAGCCTTTTTGATTTTGAGTTTCTTAACACTAAAATCAGGGGCTTAAGCCAGGTTCGGTGACTGAGTCTGTAATCCCAGCACTTTGGGAAGCCCGTGGGTTCAAGATTAGCCCTGGCAACTTGGCGAGACCTCATCTTTACAATAAAAAAAAAAAATTAGCCAGGCATGGTAGCATGTGCCTGTAGTTCGAGGTTTGGGGTGGCCATGAGTGTGCCACTGCACTCCAGCCTGGGTGACAGAGTGAGTCTCCAACTCAAAAAAAAAAAAAAAAAAAAATCAGGGACTTAGACTTTTTTCAGTTGAGGAGGCAGGGTATCTTAAGTGGAGCACATTTGAATCTCAAGAGAAGGGTGGCCTGTGCAGTTTCTCTTCATTTTGCTCCCTTCCTCCCTCCCTCCCTTCCTTCCTTCCCGTGTCTTTCTTTCCTTATCTTTTTTTTTTTTGGTCAGTCTCACTCTGTTGCCCAGGCTGAAGTACAATGATGATCTTGGCTCACAGCAGCCTCAATCTCCTAGGCTCAAGTGATCCTTCCACCTTATCCAGTGACTGCAGTCACATGCTACCACACCCATCTAATTTTTTAAGTTTTTATAGAGATGAGGCCTCACTGTGTTCCTCAAGCTGGTCTCGAATTCCTGACACATAAAAATTATAAATATTTATGGTATACAGTGTGATGTTTTAATACATGTATACAAAGTGAAATAATTAAGTCAGGGTAACTAGCATATTCATCATCTCAAACATTTATCATTTCTTTGTGGTGAGAACATTCAGAATCCTTTCTTCTAGCTACTTTGAAATATACAATGCATTCTTGTTGTCTGTATTCACTCTGTTTTGCGGCAGACCATTGACATTTAGTTCTTATAATGAACTGGTTATTAAAATCTTTTTCACTGGAGACTATAAAAATATTAAAATTTTTAAAATAAAAAAGATATCATATAGTTCTCTTCATTTTTGTCTTTTCTATTTTTGTCTGCATACTTTTTTCATTTTTTTGAGACATAATTTACATACCATAGCATTCACACTTTTGAAGTGTACAGTTTAGTCATTTTTAGTGTATTGTGAGTTGTAATTATCCCTACTATCTAATTCCAGAGCATTTTTATCACTCCAAAAAGAAATCCTGTACCCATGAGTAGTTACTTCTCATTCTCTGGTCTTCTCTATCCACAACCATAAATCTACTTTCTGTATTTATGGATTGCCTACTCTAGACATTTCATATAAATGAAATCCATTAGTTGATAGACATTTGGGTTGTTTCTACTTTTTGGCTATTATAAATAATGCTGTTATGAACACTTGTGTATAAGTTGTTTGTGTAGACATATGTTTTCACTTCCCTTGAGTATACACTCAGGAGTGTAATTGCTGGTTCATACGGTAACTTTATGTTAAACTTCTTGAGAAACTTTCAAACTGTTACCCAAAGTGGCTGTACCATTTAACATTCCCACCAGAGTGGGAATACTACGAAGCTTCCAGTTCCTTTATTTATTTGTCAACATTCATTATTGTCTGATAATAGCCAATCTAGTGAGTATGAAGTGATATCTTACTGTGTTTTGATGTGCAGTTCCCTCATGACTACCATATATATTTTGTCCTTATTGTTTCAATTATTGTTATATCAGTAGTCTTAGAGTTGATAACCTTATTGTCTGTTGCTTGGCTGGAAAAATCTAATCTTTTGACATCGTTTGAAAGTTTACAAGGCATCTTCATGTCTGTTGTCTCATTTGATTTTCTCAAAACATTGTGAAATTGTGGCAATGATTATTACATTTATTCTATGAGGAAACTGGCCATAGTGAAGGGGTTTTTCCAAGTTCATATAACTGATAAATGGAATAGTTCTTCCTTGAGTTTAGGTCATTGACTCCTTATCTCTTTGTCTGTCCCCCAAATCATGTTACCATGTTGAGGAATGTCATGGTTTATGCCCAGGATGACTCAGACTTTTCCTTTGGCTACTTGACAGCTGTAGACTCAACAGGTCACAAATTTATGATCCCTGACTTCTACTATATTTAACATTAGCTGCCACGTATTGGTAGTTTTCCCATGCATTCTTACTAATTCTCCAGCTTTCTCTCATTTGGATAAATACCTTTCAGATCTTTCCAGCTCACCCCCAGGACCTTATGGTCAAGAAATGTATGTGTTTCGATCTGAGGAAAGATTCAAATCACCACCCATCCTTCCTCCTCACCTACTGCAAGTTATTCTTAACAAAGACACTAATATTTCTGTGAGTATCCTGGGTATCGCTGGGACATCCAGGTGTCTCTAAGACCATTTGGGCCAAAGTTCAGCAATTCTAAGCCTGGGCCTGATGGTGATGGTAGTCTCAGCTACTTGGGAGTCTGAGGTCAAAGGATTGCTTGAGCCCAGGAGTTTGAGACCAGACTAGGCAACATAGCAAGACCCTGTCTCAAAAAAAAAGTCCACTAATCCTAGAGGTTGGTATTATTACAAAGCTGTTTTGAGATTATAAATCATTCACATATTGATAGCATTAATATTAATAGCAATACCTTTATCTGGGTCTGAGTTGTGGCTTCTTTGGGTACTGATATCAAAATTCATAGTTGTCTCCTAGTTGTAATAAAATCAGGGTCAGAGATAAGGATTGCTAGAGCCAATTTCTGAACTTCTATGCCAACATAACATAAAGGAGTACTTATCATTTGGGGATATACAAAAGAATTATAACTTTTTTTGGCATATGATTTACATCTCTATTCATTCTCCTTGACTCCTACTAAGATTATTTTTGCCTCTTAATACAAATCTTTCATAGGTGTTGTGGGCAAGAGTTTTATTTTAGCTCTATTGAGGAAGATAATAGATGTTGAGGCTTAGTGTTTCTATCCTGGACTGATAATTTTTCTAATTTTCTGTAATGGGATTGTATTATTACTATATATTATAGTGGGTACATTATTTAAAAGAGATCATGCTTTCCAGTTTAGAGTTTCTCAACAGTCACAAAGAGGAGTAAGAGGAGATGAGTAAACTGGTTTCCCTGTGCATTTAATTCCATTTAGTGATTTTTCTTTTCCTCTCTTAGTGTGATCCAGCCTTACTCCCTGAGCCCAACCATGTTATGCTGAACCATCTTTATGCGTTGTCTATTAAGGTAAGTAGTGGCCCTGGCTCTTCACAGTACTCCCCGAAATGAGAGGACAAGGATAACACGTTCCCCAGTGGTTACATGCTCTGCTAATTCACTGCAGCTAAAGTTGGCAGTAGTGGTCAAATTATAGAAAACTTTCTCTTTTTAACTACTGGGTTTTTAAACAAAATTCTCAGTCTCCATATCTGTTCTGGCTATCTGAATTGCCCTGTGATTGAATGGATTTTTTTGCTTTCCAGTTTTTTCTGGGTAGCTAGTACCCTTATACCACTTATTTAAGATTGAGTTCATAGCAGTAGGATTTCATCTGCAGAAAGAGCACGTTTAGTTTCTACTTCAAAGAATGCCTGAATGTGATATTAAGGTTTCCACTTGTTTTTAAAGGTAGAATGGAACTACTTTTAGGGGCCTCATTGGTATACACCCATGTGTTTGCATTTCTCCTAAACATGAGTTAAAAGAGAAATGTGACCCACCAGATTTGCCATATTCAACTCTAGAGTCCTCTTTGGTCTTCCTATTGCTATAGTATCTGTTCTGTTCTGTCTTTTTATGCCTTTGTGGTTTGGCAATTAGAATAAAGTTATATAGCTCTGTGGTTATCAACTCAACTGATTATCATCAGATCACCTAGGGAAGTTTGTGAAAACACAGATTCAGTGGCTCCAGACCCAGAGATCCTAAGTAAGTACATCTAGGATGGGCACAAGTAATTTTAAGATTCTTATATTTCTTAGATGTGTAGTTAGATTAGGGAAGTCAGTGATATGACCAACTTTAACAGACTATGTGGTAATATAGAACATTTAAATATACATTATTGGATTTAATTTTTATAATAAGCTTGTGAGGTAAGTTTTATTTTTAACCCCTGTTTTATAGATAAAGAAACTAAGACTCAGAGAAGGTCAGATTGCCAGTAAGTACCCGAGACAGGACTGAGGTTCAGTCCCTCTGTTCTAAACTCCATGTTCCTTCCTATGTATCATTGTGGGAGGTCTTTCCAAATAGGTCTTTCTCTCACCTGTTCCTATTTCCACAAAACCTTTTCTGGACATGAATTTTTTACCTGTCTTGTTTCAGTCATATTTAGGCTTAGTGTCATCACACTCTGTTCACAGAATGTTAGCATGAGAAGCATTTATTGCAGTTAATACAGTATGGGGGAAGATAGGAAGACACACTGGTTTCTAGATTGGATTTGCTTGGGTTCTTTGGGATCTGATGGAATTTTGCCTCCTGTAACTGTTCCTTGATGTCCCCAGTCCTACAATCTCCTCCTAGGGGACTTGATGTCCCCAGTCCTACAATGTCCTCCTAGGGTACATCTGTGGTCTGTAAGATAACCCAGAAAATGCTACCTCTCACTCTGTTCTTAATTGGTTCTGACCCAGGTAAAGGTTTTGATTATTGTGGTTCCACTTGGCTCTGACCCATTCCTGGTTCTCTCAGATTGTTTAAACTGTTTGGAATTTACCCATTGGATTGAGTGTCTTTCTAAAGATTTTGGGGTCCACTCTGTTCAAGGATAGAGGGAGATTACTAGGAATCAAAAGTCAGAAGGGACTTTTTGATTTCATCCCCAGTGTTAAGTGGAAATTAGACCTGCTTTGGGGCTTGGAAATGGTTTTTCAGAAGGATCATTTATTCTTATTGCATTTAACACCTTCTAGAAATGGATGCCAGGCTATTTCCTCCCCCCCCCCCCT